GATGTATCACCATGATGCTGACCTTTAACTATTGCGATAGCTTCATTGGGAATAAAGTATGGAAAGATGTTGATTGATCTACACTATAACATGGAGAGCCCCGACCCCTATTTATACTACAGCCCAGCTTAGATTACAGAAACAAACCCATCAAATATTTCCTAATGCAGTGCTAGCATGATATACCTAGCGCAAGGTGTGTTATGCATGGTGAACGTGCTAAAGGCACAACAATAATCGAATAGAACTATTGAAAAGAAATTCAGGCAAATAGAAGTGTTCAAACAGAGGAATGCTGTAAAGGCAAGAGATGGCGGAGGAATTCTTGCCTCAAGGCTTCGTGATAATTGATGAAAGATCAACGTGAACTGCTGATGTTTTGATATTCAGCACTATATAGGTCTTGGAAGAAGCAAAGAATTAATAAACACACATCTGAGGTCGTGTTGAGCAGAATTTCCTTTTGTTTGGGCTACATGTTAATGAATTTATGATTATTTATTCTGGTAAATTTATAAGGTAATATTCACTTGAGTTATGTATCGAAGTTAGTGGAAAGCCGGGATAGGAGACGGTATTGGCCGGAGACCGAGTTAGCTTTGAGAATTCCGATGCAAGAGATTTAACATCATCAGTTCCTGACATGGGGTCGGCATTGTCAAAGCATCCAAAAGTCAAGTAGTCTAGACTAAGGACAAAGGGTAAGATCGGAGTTTGGGGGATGTGATGTATATACATAGAGATGAGACATAGCTTGAGGGACACGCACGAGATCTTCTTTTCTCAAACATCCTGACTGAGTCTGTTTTATTGACAGGTTGCTAGAATCTCATCTTATTTACCGAAGTAGTCTCTCGGTTGAATTATAAGAACGTTGGTCAAACATAATTATCCCTGCACCTTAATATAATGGAGTTATGGCTGTGATTATTATTTTTATTATTTTTCAAATCATTTAATGTGTATTTAGCTATAGAGCTATGAAACATGTGGGATGACTCTTTTTACGTTAGACACTCATACTCTGGATTTTATTTGTAAATACCACTATGAGCAATGGCTGCTTACACTAACAGTCGGCCCTCCTCCGTAAGTAGTCACCAAAGAGAAGTTTCAATACCTTCGTCATCAATGCACAGCAGCGCCGCATGAAAAGTGGTTGTGTTTTGCTGGATTTGAACCAGGGATCTAGTGTCTCGAGTGGGATACGTGTCAAAGCTATCCAGACTCTACTTGGTAGACCGGCCAAGACGATGTACCACCGCACCATCCAGCCATGGCGGTGTTCACAATGTGGCCTGCGGTCACGCAGGGATCAAAGGAAATGAGCGTGCAGACGTATTATCTAAGGAGGCCTGCAGCGAAACAACTACACGTATAAAATGGAGGACGAAGGCTGAACACCTGTCAGTGGTGTCCTCTACGAGCCTGGGAGTGAAATATTCTCCTAGAGCCGAGATTCAGTCACGAAAAAGGGTGGGATGAATTTTAATTGATGGATTTTCGACTTGAAGGAGTTGCACTCGATATTTTGGTCGAAAAATCAGTCGGCAGAGATTTTACAGCCGGAACAACGTCGAACAAAAAGTCATCACCACCAACATACGATTTACGAATGGGCCTAAGTCTATCTGGGGGTCGTATTCAAACATCCGACATCTCTTAAACTCCTTTTATACTTGCGATGAAGCATGTCTCAATCGATCCTACACCTACGACCTACCTCCATACCCGTCCAATCACCTACCCACACACGCTCTAATGAGGAAAGTCATGATGGAAACGGGACGTGTACAAAGGAGGAAGAAGAGGGAAGACACACCGAGGGGATTACACAAATCCCCAATGACGAAAACAACCTAACGGTACGATATGAAGGTGCAAGGCTAGAGCAACGATGAGATCTTAGACGGCATTTATATTTCGGAGTCAATGAGGATGTCAAGGGCTCGGGCGAGTGGTGGCCGAGGCTGAGGAGGAAATCGCGCTACGGCGTGTGTACAGCAGGTTTCTGGACGGTTAGGCTTGGTATGATTCAACACATGGGTGAAGTCTGAGGTGGTCCGGTCATTAAAGTGGGACGAGGTTTATCTGTACTTCACGGTTGTTAACCTGATCCGGCCCAACCCCACACGTGCTTAAGCTCCAATAGGAGTGCAACGGTAGCCATGTAACCTAGCACGTTAATGAACAAAAACAAAAAAAAATACACGGACAAAAGCTTCGATATACCGAGCCAAAAGCCTCATAAAGGAGCGGCACGAGAGTAGCATCACCCAATATTAGAAGGAACACGCTCCAAATATATATAGGGGTTTGAAGATACCTATGATAAGACAAATGCCTGAGGAATTACAGAATTTCTCTCGGAAAAATCTCGCATTACTCCTTGCGGCCCGCTCCGCTCATGGAGACTACGCCACGTATCACAGATGCCTCCGGCACCAAGACGCTCAGCTATTGTGTATCTGTGGAGAAGAGAAGGCTCCAGAAAATCTCTTCGTAGGTAGGAAACTTGACAAAAGTAAAACTTCTAGGCCATGTCCATCTCGCGGTAAGGAGGGGACATCATGTTGGTCCTCGGCACAACAACAGCGGCGAAAGAATTCGGAAACGGTGCATCAAAGCTCATCCATACAAATAATAAGAAGGTGTCACAGTATAGAGGCAAGATTAGTGGTGACATTGATAGGATTACCTTGAAAGAACTGCATAAATTTGTGATTTAATCATAGTAATCTTTTTAAATAAAGAAGGGGGAAAGTAGCAAGGAGTTGGGCATTGAGGAATTGACATGAATAGAGTGGGCTAGGGCTCTACTTTGCATTAATATCGAGCATTAATTGCGAAAAAAGAGAGGATATTGTAGCCTTTAGACGATAGAATTGTCCGATAGCAATATGCTATGCGGACACGCCAAACGCCCATTCTTGGGCACAGAGGCCGGGTCATACCCGCGGGCCTACTTGGCGTTAAATGCAAAAAAACAAGCAAACATAGCTATATTTTTCCTTTGTCGGTTTTGGGAGAAGGAGCTCGCTGCGGCACACATTTTTAACTGACTGCTGGTTTTGTGGTGATTCGTGCGGTGGAATCAAGCTGGGTATGTCTTAGATGTAGTCCTGCCTGCGAACACCGGTCCTGTACTCAGTGAATTTGGAGCTTTAGCTCAGGACTTTAATAAAACAACAACAAGAAAAACACACATAGCGTCGTCTGCACTCGTGATTATTAATTACTCTGGAATAAAATGGGTAAGGCGTTTGGAGATACTGTATACTCTGTACTATTAGTTCCATATTCGCATGTAGATGAGCCTAGTAGTTGAACGTTGATACGAGCTAGGCTGCAGCATTCTCAGGGAATGTCGAGACTGTGCAAATATACACGTTTATTTAACCCTATACTTTATCAAATCTACTTCCAGCCACACTCTTCTATCCATCTGAAGGAATCATAATCAAAAACTCTCGGTACATTCTATTGACCTCAATCTGGTCGTTAAATCTAGAAACACTCCCCATACCGCTCTCCATTATTTGTCTTCTCTTCATGGAATCAGCCAAAAAGTTTTCATTTGATAGCCAGTAATTTTTACCCTTGTACACCGTAGTCTTCGCTATCGCCAGAACAACTAGGTTAAATAAGTCATAGGGTCAAGCTCGTCGTGGCCGAGAGCGATGAAGAATCAGAGCTTTAGTGCGTAACCATCGGACTCAACGGATGGGCGGACTTGATATGATTCAAGGTGTGGACGAAGTCTAGGGTGTCCGGTCGTTGAAATGGGACGAGTCTCTTAAACTTGAAGAGTTAATCTGATCCAACCTGGCCCCACTTGTTCTCAACATCCCACAGGAGCGCCGACAGAGCAATTAGTCAAGCATATTTCTACGTATACAAATAGCTAATCAAACGGTTTATTTCATCGAATTTTCAAGACCAATGAAATTTACTCCCCATTTTTTCAACACCTGCATTTACTTGGAGGACAGAAATTTCAGTCTAGCATGCTTTACCCAGCGACAATATCGAAAACCACGGAGGTCGACTGACATTGTACCGTATCCCTCGTATCAAAGCTTTGCAGAGACGCCATATGTGCCCCCGATCATTTTGGAGGAGATCGTTTCTTACCTTGACGAAAATGCAATACGCACAATCATTTGCGAACAAAGCAATACTCTTACCCGCTATGAGCCACACAACAAGTTACGAGTCAAGTAGCTTGACAGACCGTCAATCTATGCCAAGATAATATATGGGTGCTGAATTGTCTTGATGACTAGAACCTCCATCATTATATATTTGAGACTAAATACCCAGTCCAACTCCAACATTCCACTCGAGTCTATTCGAAATCACGATTTAAAAAAATACATGCCCTTTATCACCTGTAAATCTACATTTTGAGAACTTAATATATTTTAAAGATCTGGATTTTCAACTTGGACATCAATATTCCCCACACAAGTCAAGTCCGTAACAGAGACTCAGTCTACAATGAAAATTAAAAGTCACGCCTTGATCGTCCAGCTCCTAATATACGCTGAAACAATTTATGCCGTGAGGCCATTCCTCTGTCCCAATGACTATGTTATGAATTTGTTATATTTAGTCTGGATGTGGTGATGCAGGGGTGATCTTCTTAATTCGGTTAGGTCTGAGGCAACAGGATTTGGATTTGTTCAGGCTGGAAATTTGGATTTGTTCTTTAGTTCTAACAATTTTGTTACTTTTACGATTATTGTATAATTTGCTTATTGGGAACTCGATATTTTGATAATATGATAATCTGAACATATGAATTCGTAACTTTGATAATCCGAGCCTCGATTACCTTCATTCATACCTTCGCACATTTGACATTTGCATCTTCGACCTTCGCACCTTCGACCTTCGTAACTTTGTAACCTCGAACCTTCGACAATTTGTCTTCGTCGAAATCGACTCGACCTCTTCAGCTTAACAGCTTCGAAAATCTGCCAATAAGTAGATTCATAACAGACTACACTGTTACCCCCGAAAGGATCGAAGAAGCACTTAAAATACGCTGGGATTATTTTTTCGCCCAAGATGTCATCGAAGATGGTGTACTATACAGGCGTTTTCCAATTAAATATTTTGCAAATGATTATGCAAGTAAGGGAACCCCGTTATTTACAACTTTACATCTTCTAAAACACAACACAGGTCCAAGGATGAGTATTTACTATGTAGTTACCGACGAACAAAGGAATATATTGAGAGTGGAACACAAAGTTAGACAAGATTTTTACGAGTGTAAGGAGATATAGTAGTCGGGTTAATGTATTTTTCTGAGTTTTCGCCTTTTTCTTTAATTCACACTGTTGAGGTTCTTGGTGGATTAGAGTAAGTGAAAATTTAGATAAACTTGGCTTTATGATGGTGTGGGGTACGCGTGTCTCGTGGCTCTAAACTACCAATATGTATAGTAGAGCTTCAGACTAGATGTCACTTGATTTTCTATTAATACAGGGTATCGTCAATTTAAATCCAGTATTCCTTATCTTGCGCCAGGACTCCAACGCGAGGAGGGCAAGACTGAACACCTGTACGCGGTGTCCTCTACGAACCTGGGAGTGAAATATTCTCCCAGAGCCAAGTTCAGTCAAACTTTGCAATACCGAACAAGTTGGCCCACGAGGCAATGATTCAAATTACTCCACCATATCAATCTTTCACTCCCAACGAAATCGATTCCTACCTAAACCTCATCAAGTTTACAAGTACGACCTAGTACATCCTAATCCCAATGACCACACCCCTTGTCGACTTTCTCTGGCCTTAGCTGGTCGCCAGATACACGCCCACGCCGATATTTACACCCGACGGAGGAAGCAAAGCGTGGCGCACAAATCTGGAAGACAATTCCTTGGGATGGATGTGAGAGGGATCAGGACAAGTTAATAAGATGATGCAGAGGATTGGATACAGTCTCGACGGGCGTGGAATTTTGAATTTTGGAAAGGAGTTTTTACAAATTGAGCTTTGTGCGTGCCAAGTCTTCGGCTGCGAGAGTGCAGGCGACACTATAAAAACTGCCATGGTTGGATGGTGCGGTGGTACATCATCTTGGCCGGTCTGCCAAGTAGAGTCTGGATAGCTTGGACACATATCCCACTTGAGACAGTAGATCGCTGGTTCGAATCCGGCAAAACACAACCACATTTCTCGCGGCGCTGGTATGCATGGATGACGAAGGCATGCTTGGATAATCAAAGGTTTTTAAATTCCCTTTGGTGGGTACTAACGGAGGAGGGTCGACTGTTTGTGTAAGCAAACATACCTCATAGTGGTATTTGCGAATGAAATCCAGAGTATGAGTGTCTCTAACGTCAAAAGAGACATCCCACATGTATACATAGCGCCGGTCATGTGTCATAGCTAGATAGCTGAATACACATTAAATGATTTAAAAAAAAAAAAAAAAAAGACTCCAACGCGAACAACATTACATAAGTGTTGGAAATACAGTTTCCTGCTTTTCTTTCTATCGACCAATGTGGTTGCATGCATCTTGCCCGAACTATATTTCTGAGTTCAGGCAGGAGCCCATACTTATGATCCAATCGGACTCAACGTATGAGTCTGCTTGAATCCCATTCTTCCCGAACAAATCCAGTCATTGGTTTGTTCGTATTTTCTGTTGCATGACCCAGTATTCTGAGTCAGTGGATAATTCTTTTCTGGTCTGGGATCTCACTAATTTCTGCAGTCAAGTTGGTTCCGGGTAACCTTTCTTCCTTGTAATTCCACTGTATATATCATAATACCTGTAGTCTATTAGTCAATTAAGCAAACTGAGCTTCTTCTCCGTTCTCTGGCAATTCTTACTCCGAAGTCTTCTCTATACTCTAACAATAAGCATTACAATTTATCAGAGCCTCGTACTAATCAAGAGGTCTGTCAATCTAGGATCCTCAATCAATCCTCTCAATTAAGAGTTGTCCAACTCAAGGTTTGCTTTTGATACACTTAGATTCCTACTGCAGATTTTAGTTGTCTCCTATCCTGGTCTAGCATTCTTTGATTTCTGTACCACAAGCTTCGTACAGGATGACTATTGTGAGCATATGTTAGGAAGAGATTGGATCTATTGTAACAATTTGCTATTTGTATCCTCCAGGAGAGACTAGGGAATATGTGTTACCGGAATGGCATTCAGTGATGGCCCAAGGCCCGTCATAAAAAGGTTCAAACTTATGTCTTCTTTGGCGGACTCTTAGTACCCAGTAACAGGGTGCATATATTCTTATTAATGCTTTGGACTCTTGTAAATATTCACGAGTTTTGGCTCTGGAAGCCTTCATACTATTTACGTACGATCTGGCAGTAGGTGCAGCTTGAAAGTTAACCAATTCCTAAACCCATTCTAGCTCTTCTGTCAGGATGGCTTCTCGGGTATAAATTGAGTATGTAAGTTCTGACTACGGAGGCTGTGGTCCAAAGAGTAGGCAGTAAGGACTGTAATCTGAAGGTAATGTACGGCGATTATATATAGTTGCCGGGCGTGCTAGTGATCCCTTGAGATTATCAAGAATTCCACAAGCTAGTTTTCCCTTGAGAACACCGTTGGCTTGTTCTAGCTTTCTATTGCCTCGAGGTCTAGCTAGAGAAGTATGGGAAATTGTAAATCTGTGCTTTATCTGAAAATACTGTGCTTTGTATCCACTGAAGCAATTGACATTTTCGCCTATAACTTGCTTGGGTGTCCCAAAAATATGATGTTGGAAGTTGTGTATAGGTTCTAAGAGGAAACTCACTAAAAGAACATAGGCACAAATTTAATCTCCTTCGTATTTAATAAATCAAATAAATTATTCACGTAATAGTTCTGATATTATCGTATTATTCGAGGATCATATATATTACATCAAAGTATTTAATGTTTCCTGGGGGAATATTCTCAACACCTGTCAGTGGTGTCCCATACGAGCCTCTAGCTCTTACTGTAGAGTCTGTAGAGCCGGGATTGAGAAACAACTTTTCAAAATTTGAGCTGAGTTATCTCCCCCCCGTCAAAGATACGCTTCCGATAACTCACAAGACGACGAAGACGATGATAATGGTGCTAAAAATGAGGAAAGATACTGCGGTACCAAAAGTTACATTCGTAGTCAGAGAATCCCTCGTTATTGTTGTCGGAACACTACCAATGGTCAATTCACAAGTTTGTGTGGAGTTACTCAATTCATTCCTATCTCCTCTCTCCTCTATGGGGAGAAATTCTATAAATACATTGTTGCCTTTTTCTGAAACGCTATTCCCTATAAAGGAAGGTCTCAGCTCAACCCATGTAAATAACATTTTGTGAGCCAGTTCACACTTGTGTCAAGCACATATTGATAAAGCCACTGTTTGTATGTAATTGCCCTTCTCACAACCATAAAACTAGTGCATTTGTGCTAAGTTATTTCCGATCAAACTTGCCGATCATTGCCCTCATTTTTGTAGCTCCAGATCAAGCAACTGTTACCAAATTACAACACATGAAATATGTGCAGAAATAAAAGGATTGCCGGATCATTGTCAGATCATTGTCAGATCATTGTCAGTAGTTCATTATATCATGTGGCTACATCATGTGACACACTTCTATTAAATCTTCCCGTAGCATTGAAGAGAATAGAGAATACATAAGATGAATTATTGACGACATACTGCTAGCAGTTACACAGTGAATACGCCTACCAACACTGATCAGTGTTGCCTCGATATAGGCAACTCAGATCCGCAAGGTGGAAGAGACTTAAATCGCGACATCTCCTACTAGATAGGATGCCCTGTTGCAATTGAGTGCTACAAACGCGACGACGAAAGCATCCACTGTGAACTCAGTGTCACTACGTTCTAAATTGGTGTTCTTTTGATGAGAGTGAAAGATATCTCTTTAAAAAAAGGATCCTACCACACAATTAAATTTTTCTTTCGAAGTTCATTTGGTTGTGCCGACCTACACCAACAGCCACCTCACCACTGGTTTTTCGCTATCCTCTCACATTCAACCCACTCCCCAATCATACCATGGGCTAATCTCCTGACCAAGAATAAGAGAATTTAATTTTTAAAAATTACCATTAAGATGAGCAACATAACGGAAGACGAAGGCAGACCTAATGACGCCAGAAAGGAGTAAAAGACATTATCATGTCTAAAAGAGATCGGCCTCCCTCAGACGGCAACTAAGTTCATCGATATTGATCTTGTTGGTGAACCGCTAATTCTCACCAAAGCTACTCCCGTTGAACTAAACACAAAAACCTTTGATTTCATGATGAACAATCAGAGCACAGTTGATAAGAAGCTACTTTTTGACTTTCAGGAGGAATTCGGTGAATAGAATAAGTTAGAATACGATAAGACATCCCCAGTATTGAAGAAAAGTCTCAGAACCTTTCTCAGATAACATGGTCTCTACCCTGGACCCCTCAAAGGACACATCGTCCCGCAATTAATAGGCCTCCTTGGTATTGATAAACTGCCTGACTGAGACTATGAGGAGCTGAGGGCAATGTCAGATATCCACCACAAATCTCTGGTACTTTATTCTCGATATCAGACTTCATCGGCTCCAAACTTGACCCCTTCATCAAATCAAGACCAGAAAGTTCCAATCATCGGTACGACAGCCACTAAGTTGCCACCAACAATCCCAGCAGGTCAAAAATTGATACAGAACCAATCTCGCACAGTACATCCGACCACATATCAATTTCAAAGGGCTCGAACGCAGATAGGGATAATGCCAAATGACTTGATGAACCCACAAATACCGATTAAAAATGAGATGGACCTGGATGATGTTACTAACGTCCTCGCCTACCAAACTGTACCACCTCTTATCTCCTCGAATGAGGAACAAGAGCCCAATACAGTCGCAGCTTTTAGTAAGATTTGGTGCAAAATGTATAGGTATAGTGGCGATCCATACGATATCTTTGATGATAAAATTCGGTATTTTATGAGTAGAGCCAAGATAGCACGAATCAGATCATTACAAATGCACTCAATTTTCCCTATGATACTTTCCAAGCGTCCGCAAGAGTGGTTTATCTACAATGTGCCTTTTTCAGATATATTTGCTGCTATGTACTATAAGATTAAATCGCATTTGATGTAGAAGTCAATCACCACCAGTATTATGACGACTGGACTTCCATGACTTTCGGAACTATGGTGTCAGATCTATTGCATCATGGCAAGACAAAGTTTGAGGTGCTCACAGCACTTCTAGATAGTTGTAACAGCTGGCAAGCCGATCGGTCCCTGTAGC